CTAGAATTAGAGTTAAGGTTAGTGTAATTTATAATAAAAACTTGTCAGTGAAACATGCTGTCAGTGAAATAATTGTCAGTGAAATAAACTTGTCGGTGAATTGATTGCCGGTGAAATGGCATGTCGGTGAAGTGAGTGTCAGTGAAACGATACAGACCCATTTTGTAGATTCAACTTGAATGCAAATTATGGCACCACTTTTTTATTGTTGTAAAGAAAGGAAGTTAGTCAGACAAATGAAAGTGCCTTTGATGCGTGATATTGTTTGGAAAATTTATCCAATGTTGCACGGAATTGTGGGCCACCATTTTGATAATCATTACTGATTTTTTCCAGAAAAGTATCAAGCATAGTATCATTGATTTCATTGTTTATAGTATTGTTGACTTCTTCATTTATAGTATTATTGATTACTTCGTTTGTTTGATCTAACTTGCTTTAAAAAGATAAAGTTTTATATTTATTGTAATAGTATATTAAAATAATAAATAAATAAATAAATATATATATATATATAAACCTCTGTCATTGTCTAAAGGCTTTAATAAACATTTATTAGATGGTCTTGTCTTCTGTGAACATTTTTATAAAATAGATTCTATATGCAATGAGGTGTAAAAAAACTATCCTTTGTAACTTGAACTAATAAATTAACACAACTTTTTTAATTATATTATTCTTTATAGTGTTTCAAATTATGAGTTGTCTTACCAAAGTGTAATATAAGTGAAGACTATACAGTCACCAGGTGTTAATAATAGCAAAAAATTTTATATTTAAATATGAAACTTTATTACAACCACACCTTGATGCCTATAGAACATATGCATATTCTGATCTCACTATTCACAATAAAAAAAGATTATTTTCACTTGTGCTCAATACTAAAAATTTATTTTTTACACCTATTTGTTAAACAAAATTCATATCCATGTGCTCATAGCTAGGACATAAAAATCATTTAGCAATCCAAAAGTGGTCAGAATATTTATAGAACAGTTAAGTAATTATTGATAATAAAAATTTCCATATTTAATATTATAAACTGGAATACTTGAATTAGAGATTATTAGAGATGGATCTTCTTTAATATAGGTGGACATATATAAATTATTACAAAATTATAAT